TTTCACATCTAAATCCTTATTTAAACCAATGTAGACTTGTGGTTGTGGCCTACAGCTCTGGGACAATGACAAAAACTCCAACACTAATAAAATACAAATTTTCCAAAATAATATCTGTAAAATCGCCATTTCAACACCTTATATTTTAAACCTAACATTACATACTGATTTAAAAATCAAAACAGCCTAACTTTCTTCTCATATCAACTCCYCTCATATCAAACTTTGCCACTCTCACAATTTATCTGTTCAAAACATCTCTCTACAAGACTACAAGGCTCAAAATAAATTAGTGACGAGATCTTCTCAATGGTTAATCTAAAGAATAGTATAGATTTAAAAAAAAAATGTAAACAAGTTAAGGGGGTATTACCACTAGGTAACTTCTTCATCAAATTAATCATATAAAATAACTATTATAATTTATCACATATTCTTATTGTTCCTAATGTTCCTAGAAACAGATAGTTTATGTATCATTAAATAAAAATTGTATTATATGTAAATAATAAATCTGATCACTACTTTTTAAAGTTAACATAAATGTAGATATACAGTGAATATATCACATTTATCGTACCGACTATATGTAGGTACTAGATAACTAAGTAGTATGTATATTTCCAAGTCAAACATTTTCTTCAAATGCTGCCGAGCACGAAATCAATATAATTATCATTTAATGAATTCATTTTTATTGTATTGTATRTATTTTATACTTATTGATCTTATTCTATACAAGAATATTTTAAAACTGGACTTGGTGGAGGGGGTTAAGAATTCTCTGAGAAACTCCCCCACAGAAATTTTCAAGGATTACGTAAGGTTAAAAATTTAACATTAGCTGCTTTTTCTTTAAAACGTGACTGAACTTAACATGGTTGAGCATTTATCTTCTTAGCAATACGATTGAGTACCTATATATAATGTTTTATGCGACGTTGCCATATATGCAAACATTTCAAACCAGACTTTTGAAATGCATTATTTTCCTGCTGCACACGAACACACGTTATACTGAAATTTCGGTTGCTCRAATATTGTAAAACACCAGWATACACATAAATAGTATAATATCAATTATTCCTTACACTGAAGGACTTTTTTTTTCGTGTTATCGACGGCGCTGTCGGAACTGCTTTGCGCATTATGTCGATATARCGTCACCAGATACGYTAAGTAATGCAACTATTACGATAAACGGATCGATAAAATATGATGATACGTGTTCTGAGATTAGCCAACTTCACGGGCCGATCGGAGTCCGCCATCCTTGCCATCACGTTCCAGGTTGCCAGCAGTACTTCGACCGTCTTACATGGCTCGTCCATTAGGCTTCCTATCGACAGGCGCGGATTCAGAAGGGTTGCGGAGGGGGCG